AAAATCGTGCGTCCTGGCATATGTCGGTAACAATTTGCCATTAAAGCGAACGAAAGAAGTCGAACCCTCGATCATCTTCATAACAGTAGCAGTACTTCAAACTCTGCGAGTTTAAAAAATGCATTTCCCATGTAATAGTACCATATGTAGAGGCAAACACGTGTCTTTCATGAAGCTTTATTCCACAAATAGGTTAAAATATTATCTTGCTGAACATAGAAATTACAGAAAAACTAATAATAATCAGTACATAGCACGAAAAAAAGAAACGCGATCACACAGTGCCTGGATTGAAAATTTCAATCCAATAGCCGTCTGGATCCTGAATAAAAGCAAGTCCCTTCATTCGACCATCATCTGGCTTTTTCACAAATTGAACACCCAATTCTTCGAAACGTTTACAGGCTGCGTAGACATCTTTCACTGCTATACCGATATGTCCTAAAAGGTAACAATTTTAGACAAAACCAGTTAAAAAGCTCTTGAAGATCTTTTCTGGGAAAATAAATGCTAAAATATTTTTACTGCGGCGAAAGTGTAAAATTCGCCGATGCTATTAACAAGTTCGCCCTCCGGCCTTTTCTTCAAAAGTATTGTAAGTGCCTTAAAAATGCACTGTTATCTTTAACTAAACACATAGCATACATATATAAATTATTTGTATGGACGTATTATAAATTATACACATACTTCGCATAGCACACACGTATTATAAATTATTTGTATAAATTTTTTATATAAATTACGCAAGATAGAATGGCGAAGCAGAAATGGACCAAAAAACGAAGACAAGAGAGCTAAAAGGGTCAGGAGGCTAAGAAAAGAATGAGATAAGACGTTTCGATTCATAAGTCATGAATGTGACCTGTTTGATGCTCGACTCATTGAATAAATTTATCGTATTGTAACAGAAAACAAAACGAGCACAAGTAATATATATGCCTTAATTTTTTCCATTCCACCCACCTTATCTATGTTCTAACTCTTTATTTTTCACATTAAGTGATACCATGACCGCCCGGGCTACTAGTGTAGATTTGCCTGCTAGTAATGTTACTGGAATGCTTCCGCACGCCGGGAACTGCTGAAATATGCCCTTCGATCCTGGATTACACATTTCTTCAATTGGTAACCAACGTATGTTCCATGTACCTGCGCTTTCTCTTCGGAGATAGCTCGAGTAGTCGTCTCTTTCCTTGCGGGTACCGCCCATTAATGCGCGGTGTCCACAAGTTGTTGGCAAGGCGAGCAAAATGCCTTGTCCATCGGATTTTACTTCCTGGACACAATGATATTCGGCACATCGCTCAACTTGTTTTTCGTATTTTTTTTTTTCAAATAGATTCCTGAACACCAGATTTTTTACTCTGGAACTTCGATTCGCCTTCGCTCCATCGGAAGCTTCACATTACCGTTACGGTTGACTATTATCCCGTGCTTGCCGTCACCGAAACTGCTTCGCTAAATGACCACAGCTTGTTAGTGGTCCCGGTGTTTGTTTCTTCGGTTTTTCTTCTCCTTCTTTTCGAGAAAACTGCCAGACTCACCTAATACGCATCAAAAAATTCAAAAAAGAAAAAAAAAAAACTCACCGAATCCACGAGGTTCTTTATTTCCGTTATGGTAACTGAAATCCGGATCGTTTTCTGTGCCCCAGTTGCTGAAAAATAACACAAATTGCACCGGAATTATCGAGTCCTACATTCAATACGTCTGAAATTTCACCACTTCAGCACAAAGCCACAAAAGTTACGGGTTATATTACCCAAGGTTGTGTTTCGATAATGATTTCTATAGAATAGCCGATAAAGAATTCCAAAACAATTTGATTTTGCATGTTCAGCTCACTTTCTGCTAGGAAATTTTGCTCATTGTCTTCACAATCCAATATCTCAACAAATTCTTCTTTCAAGATTTCTCCCTTTCCTCTACCACTGAAACCTTTTCCTCAATCAAGTTTTAAGAATTTTAGACACATACAAATATAATAAATGATGGGCAAGGCTATACTGATGATTCCCATTCATATTCGCACACACGACACTACCTGTGTTTTCGGCTAAGAGACCGAACACAGACTGTTCAATGATTTATTTACTGGTACACGCTGTATCTAGACATAACAACCCAATTACATAAACTTAATCCAAACAAAACAATGTTTTACTGTGTTAGCTCGATAGTTGCAATAGTTGACAATGCATAAC